ATGTTTTCTCACAATTAGATTCAGGTTTTGTGCTTTTGGCAGGAACTTCACAGAACTGATGTCGTGTACACACATATTGAGAGGCGAATGATGTCAGTTTGTCCCATTATTTACGGTAAGGTTAGTTTTGATGACTTGGTTGAGGTGGTGTAACTGCCAGGTTTTTTTCACTATAAAGTTACTATTTTTTCTTTGTAATTAATAAGTATCATATCTTGTGGAGAGATACTTTGAGACTATTCACATATAGTATTTTTCATCTTATTTTCACTGACCAATTTTAGCATTGTTGAGTTTGTCCTTAATCAACTCAGGTTTGCCAAATGGTTTTCTAATGCTATAGTTCCTCTATGAGGAATTCCTCCACAAGGAAGAGCTTTTTTTCCCCTCTCTTCCTTTCTTTCAGTATGGACTCACAGATTTCTGTTTAATTCAATGGGTTGTAAATATCATTCTTTGTTTTGTTCAGCACTTTATCCCAGATGGTTCAGAGAGAGGATCTTTCTTTAGGCTTATTCGTGTCCCTGTGATATGGCCCCATCCTTCCTTCAGGGTTTACTTTCTGGCACCACAGGATGTTCTGACTTACCTTGTGCTTTTTCTGCCCAGCCCTTGGATTGGAGCTTTAAGGAGCACTTCTTCCTTTTATTGGAGAATGGTTTTTGGAAAACAGGACCTGGACACCAGCTAGGTATGCTCATTGGTCCTAGGGTATTACTTTTTTTTTTTTTTTTTTTTTTTTTGAGACAGAGTTTCGCTCTTGTTACCCAGGCTGGAGTGCAATGGTGCGATCTCAGCTCACCGCAACCTCCACCTCCTGGGTTCAGGCAATTCTCCTGCCTCAGCCTCCTGAGTAGCTGGGACTACAGGCACGCGCCACCATGCCCAGCTAATTTTTTGTATTTTTAGTAGAGACAGGGTTTCAGCATATTGACCAGGATGGTCTCGATCTCTCGACCTCGTGATCCACCTGCCTCGGCCTCCCAAAGTGCTGAGATTACAGGCTTGAGCCACCACGCCCGGCGGGTATTACTTCTTTTAGGTCTTTTGAGTTAGAAAATATAGAGACTTACAAAGGTGGAGAAAAGTGAGGAAGATGCAGAAGAAAAGATGGAAACTAGCAGAGGTTGATTTGTGCAGTTTAAGGAAAGAAGCCTCTCTATAACGTAAACGTGCAAGGTGGAACAGCAAGTGCTGATGCAGAAGGTCTAGCTGAGGTCATTGATGAAGGTGGTGATGCTACGCAATAGATTTTTTATGTAGGTGAAACAGCTTTATATTGTAAGAAACTGCCATGTAGGACTTTCATAGCTAGAGAGAAGCCAGTGCTTGGCTTCAGAACCTCAAAGAATAGGCTAACTTTTTTTTTTTTTTTTTTGAGATGGAGTCTTGCTCTGTTGCTTGGACTGGAGTGCAGTGGTGTGATCTCAGTTCATGGCAACCTCCACCTCTCAGGTTCAAGTGATTCTCCTGCCTCAGCATTCTGAGTAGCTGGGATTACATGTGCACACCACCATGCCTAGCTAATTTTTTTATTTTAGTAGAGATAGGGTTTTACCATATTGGCCAGGCTGGTCTTGAACTCCTGATTTCAAGTGATTTCACCCTCCTTGGCCTCCCAAAGTGTTGGGATTACAGGCATGAGCCACTGTACCTGGCCAGAACTGGCTAACTTTTTGTTGAGATAATGCAGCTGGCAACTTTAAGTTGTGGCCAGTGCTCATTTACCATTCTGAAAATCCCAGAGCCCTTTAGAATTATGCTAAATTGACTCTGCCTGTGTTCTAGAAATGGAATACCAAAGCCTGCATTAGAGCATATCTGTTTACAGCATGGTTTACTGAATATTTTAAGCATACTGTTGAGACCTGCTCAGAAAAAAAGATTTCAAAATATTAATTTCTGCTCATTGATGAGGCATCTAGTCACCCAAGAGCTCTGATGGAGATATATAGGGAATATAATGTTTTCATGCCTGTTAACACAGCATCCATTCTGCAGCTGAAGCATCAGGAAGTCATTTTGACTTTCAGGTCTCATTCTTTAAAAAATATATTTGGTAAAGCCATAGCTGCCATAGATAGTAATACCTCTGATGCATCTGGGCAAATAAATGGAAAGCCTTCTGGAAAGGCTTTGTTGTAGATGCTGTTAAGAACATTCATGATTCATGGCAGCATTAACAGGAATTTGGAAGAAGTTGATTCTAACCTTCATGGATGACTTTGAGGGGTTCATGACCTCAGTGGAGAGAGTAACTGCAGATGTGGTAGAAATAGCAAGAGAACTATTAGTAGAATTAGAAGAGGAACCTGAAGATGAGACTGACTTGCTGCAATCTCACGATTAACCTTGAATAATTGATGATTTGCTTCTTTTTTTTTCTTGAGACAGTCTCTGTTGCCCAGGCTGGAGTGCAGTGGTATGATCCTGGCTCACTGCAACTTCTGCCTCCTGGGTTCAAGTGATTCTCCTGCCTCAGCCTCCCTAGTAGCTGGAATTACAGGCACCTGCTACCATGCCAGGCTAATTTTTGTATTTTTATTAGAGACTAGGTTTATCATGTTGGCCAGGCTGGTCTTGAACTCCTGATCTCAAGTGACCAGCTTGTCTCTGCCTCCCTAAGTGTTGGGATTACAGGTGTGAGCCACTGCTCCTGGTCTAGACGAGCTGCTTCTTATGGATGAACAAAGAAAGTGGTTTCTTGAGATGGAATCTAATCCTGGTGAAGATGCTGTGAATGTTATTGAGATGATCGCCAAGGATTTAGACTATTACGTCAGCTTAGTTGATAAAGCCAGCAAGCAGCAAGGTTTGAGAGAATTGGCTCCAATTTTGAAATAAGTTCTGTGGGTAAAACATCATTGAATAGTATTGAATGTTACAGAGAAGTCTTTCATAAAAGAGCAAATCATAGTGGCAAACTTTACTGTAATCTTTAAGAAATTGTTGGCTGGGTGTGGTGGCTCACACCTGTAATCCTAGCACTTTGGGGAGGCTGAGGCAGGAGGATCACTTGAGCCCAGAAGTTTGAGACTAGCCTGGGCAACCTTGTGAGACCTCATGTCTACAAAAACAAAAATTAGCTGAGCTTGGTGGTGTGCATCTGTAGTACCAGCTTCTTGGAGGCTGAAGTGGGAGTACTGCTTGTGCCTGGGAGGCAGAGGTTGCAGCGAGCAGAGATTGTGCCACTGCACTCCAGTCTGGGTGACAGAGTGAGACCCTGTCTCCAAAAAAAAAAAACTTCTCGAAGCCACTTTAATAAGCTTTTAGCTTCACCATCCTGGTGAGTCAGCAGACATCAACACTGAGGTGAAACCCTCCACCAGCAAAAGTATTACAACTTGTTGAAGGCTCAGATACCTGTTAGCATTTTTGAGTTATCAAGTATTTTTAAATTAAGGTCTATACTTTTTTTTTTAGACATAATACTGTTACATGCTTAATAGACTACAGTATAGTGTAAACATAACTTTTATATGTACTGGGAAACCAAAAAATTTGTGAATCATTTTACTGGGGCATTTGCTTTATTGTGGTGGTCTGGAATTACACCTGCAGTATCTCTGAGGTATACCTGTTTGTAGATGTATTTGTGGGTGTTTATGTATATAGTATTTTTTTGTTTTTTTGAAAATCTCAGTCACTCAAGCTGGAGTGCAGTGACATGATCTTGGCTCACTGCAGCCTCTACCTCCCGGGCTCATGTGATCTTCCCACCTCAGCCTCCTGAGTAACTGGGACTTCAGATGTGTGCTACCACGCCTGTCTAATTTTTGTATTGTTTTGTAGAGATGGGGTTTTTGCCATGTGGCCCAGGCTGAGCTCAAGCAATCTGCCTGTGTTGGTCTCCCCAAGTGCTAGAATTACAGGTGTAAGCCACCGCACCCAGTTTTATATGTATATTTCTATGTCTGTTTGTGTATTAAAATAACAAATTCATGCTGATATGTTCAGTTTTGATACCTGAGAGTTCATTCTTTCTTCTTAAGTATAATCCCTCATTTGACACCAAGAAACTGGCTCTCAGCCACAGTGTGTTAGTTATTTGCTCAATTCTGGAATACATTTAAAGGAGTTTTAGAATTGTTCACCCCTACCACTGCTAATTTAGTAACCAGAGTCCAACATTTATTTATAGCTTTTTTATTCTTCAGTCTTAGACTTGGAGTGTGTAGTCAAAATACTATGTACCAAAGTTACTTAAGTTAGTTCTTGCTCAAACTCCTTCTCCCCACCTTCAGTGTGATTATGTTATTATTTTTGAAATATAGTTAAGTTCATTCATTTCTGTTTGTGTTCCATTTGGGGTCTCTCATGTCCTTGTTGATTGATTGATTTCACCATGTGCAATATTAACATGGTTCTAAAAATCAGAATGAAGGGCGAGGTATAGGGTCTTGTGCCTGTAATCCCAGCACTTTGGTAGGCCAAAGAAGGAGGATTGCCTGAGCCCAGGAGTTCAAGACCAGCCTGGGCAACATATTGGGACCCCACCTCTATAAAAAAAATAAAAAATAAGTGGGCATGGTGGAGCACACCTGTGATCCCAGCTACCTAGGAGGCTGAGGTGGGAGGATTGCTTGAGCCCAGGAAATCAAGGCTGCAGTGAACTGTGATTATGCCACTGCACTTCAGCCTGGGCACGAGTGAGACCCTGTCTGACTGAGACACACACACACACACACACCCACAGTACCTTGCTTAGAACATTGTCCTTGGGCTCTATGCCATGGGAATATATTTTAGATATCTTATTTTAGGTATCTTAAGTACTTTTTTTTTTCCCTGAAAAACAGCATCATGTTTATTGGAAGAGCTTGAGAAAAACGAAAATACAATTTAGCTTAAGAAGTTGTGAGTTATCTGCAAATCAACTCATTTCAGGAGTGGAAGAATCCCTGGAATTATTTCTTAATATCATAATGTACGCAGGTTTCTCTTTTGAATGTCTTGTACATTTAAAGAGGCCCCCGTACAAAGTCTCCACAGGGCAAATTCTTTGTTTCAGCCAACTCTCAGCGGAGGGGCAACCAGTACAACGCCGTCTCCCCGGACAAAGAGCATTGGAATATTTCGCTTCGTTGATTTATATATCTCTTCTTATGTTTCTTCATCAATTTCTATAGTAGTCACAGTTTCTTCTACATCTCCTAAGATCATATTTAAATGTTGATCATAAGCATGTAATCTGCCTCGAAGCTCTCGGTCATTTCTCATTTTCACATAAATTCCCTCATCTAGGCTGAGCCTGATAAGATCCAGGGGCTCCTCTACAGTGTTGGTAGTTTGTTGCTGGTCTACGTCATCCGCCATGTTTCAAACCTCTTAAGTACTTTTATATGTACTGGGAAACCACAAATTTGTGTGACTCAAGAGACCTGTACAGTACCTAACAAATGAAACTCCTTAGAAAGAGGGAGAGGGAGAAGAAATACTGTTACTTTGCTATGTACTAAATTCTGTTCATTTGGAAACAGCACTGGAATCAATCTAGATATCCAAAGTGTTAGATCCTCTAATGGTTATCTAGAATCCCTTTCAGTTCCAGAATTCCATGATTCCTGTGTGCCTAGACCAGGCGTCCCCAAAATTTTTACACAGGCGGCCAGTTCACTGTCCCTCAGACCGTTGGAGGGCTGCCACATACTGTGCTTCTCTCACTGACCACCAATGAAAGAGGCGCCCCTTCCTGAAGTGCGGCGGGAGGCCGGATAAATGGCCTCGGGGGCTGCATGTGACCGTGGGCCGTAGTTTGGGGACGCCTGGCCTAGACACTTGTAATCCCTAGGTTCCTTCCTTCTCAATTTTTTTCCTAACTTCCTTTCCTTTCATTCCTTCCTGAATGAAAAATGGTATCATGTTTTACATCTAATAATTTTTCTACATTTTAATGAATCCATATTTGATTTTCGCCAATGAACTTCTCTGTGATAATTCCTGACTTTCTTTTTTTTTTTTTTGAGAAGGAGTCTTGCTCTGTTTCCCAGGCTGGTGTGCAGTGGCACAATCCCATCAGCCTCTCAAGTAGCTGGGATTACAGGCACCTGCCAACACATCTGGCTAATTTTTATGTTTTTTTTTTGAGACGGAGTTTCGCTCTTGTTACCCAGGCTGGAGTGCAATGGCACGATCTCGGCTCACCGCAACCTCCGCCTCCTGGGTTCAGGCAATTCTCCTGTCTCAGCCTCCTGAGTAGCTGGGATTACAGGCACACACCACCATGCCCAGCTAATTTTTAGTATTTTTAGTAGAGACGGGGTTTCACCATGTTGACCAGGATGGTCTCGATCTCTTGACCTCGTGATACACCCGCCTCCGCCTCCCAAAGTGCTGGGATTACAGGCTTGAGCCACTGCGCCCGGCCTAATTTTTGTATTTTTAGTAGAGAAGAGGTTTTACTATGTGGTCAGAGTAGTCTCGAACTCCTGATCTCAAGTGATCCACCCCCTCCTCAGCCTCCCAAGATGCTGGGATTATAGGCATGAGTCACCGCACCCAGCCACTTATTTCTTTTTATATAATGATAAATCAGTGCAATTGATTGAATAAGTGATTTGAGTAATATGAAGAAGATAATATGATCAAATTTGTGTAGAACGAGTGGACTAGGAGCTCTGAATTTTCATCTTATTGTTATTACTGATTTTTATATGTGACTTTTGAGGAAGCTACTTAATTTTATACGCTTGTGCATTAATGAGTTAAAGTAGATATTTCTATCCTCTTATGTGTGATATTAGATTGTAAGAAAGTAATATATAGATGGTAAAGAATACTAGTTAGGCATAGGGCAAAAACATCTTTTAAAAGCTTGGTCACAAAGTGGATTTGTTTAATTTTGTATGCTATAGCTGTAAAATATGTAATAAATATAATACCACGTAAGCCAGGGTGATCTGTCATTTTATATCAGGTTTTAATGGCTATATTTAAGAATTGTTGCTGGGTTCAGTGGCTCATGCCTGTAATCCCAGCATTTTGGGAGGCTGAGGTGGGTGGGTCACGAGGTCAGGAGTTCGAGAGCAGCCTGAACAACATGGTGAAACCCCAGCTCTACTAAAAATACAAAAATTAGCCAGGTGTGGTGGCGCATGTCTGTAATCCCAGCTACTCAGGAGGCCGAGGCAGGAGAATCACTTGAACCCAGTAGGTGGAAGTTGCAGTGAGCTGAGATTATGCCACTGCACTCCAGCCTGGGTGACAGAGCGACTCCACATAAAAAAAAAAAAAAAATTGTTTATACCTGTTAGATGTGGTTGTCTTTTGGTATCTGAGGGATCGGTTCCAGGACTCCCCACAGATATCAAAATCTACAGATGCTCAAGTATAAAGCGGCATAGTATTTCCACGTAACCTATGCACAGTTTCCTGTATACCTTAAATCAGCTCTAGATTACTTATAATGCCTAATACAATGTAAGTGCTTTGTAAACAGTTAAAATACTGTATTGTTTAGGGAATGTTTACAAGGAAAAAGGTCTATATCTGTTCTATACAGATAGGACCATCCATTTTCCAATTTGTGCTTGGTTAAGACCACGAATGTAGAACCTACAGGTACAGAACACTGACTGTAGTTACTCATAGGTTAAAAGAAGACTTTAGTGGTAGTTTTAAAATTTTTGGAATAAAAGCCTTTAATGTCAAAGGTTATTACTTTTTTCCTTGTGCTATATATGTAGCTTTGTTTGTTTGTTTGTTTATTTATTTATTTAAGAGGGAGTCTTGCTCCTGTAGCCCAGGCTGGAGTGCAGTGGTGTGATCTCAGCTCACTGCAACCTCTGCCTCCCAGGTTCAAGTGATTCTCCTGCCTTAGCCTTCCAAGTAGCTGGGATTACAGATGCGTGCCACCACACTGGGCTAATTTTTGTATTTTCAATAGTGATGGAGTTTCATCACCATGTTGCCCAGGCTGGTTTCAAACTCCTGACCTTGCGATCTGCCTGCCTTGGCCTCCCAAAGTGCTTGGGATTACAGGTGTGAGCCACCACGTCTAGCCTGTAGCTTTGTTTTAAAGGTGCCTATAGCTTCATGAATATACTGTGTCAATAGGATGTAATGGCATCATGGATTAGATGTCCTTCCTGACCTCACACACTTCAAAATGTCTGCACCTATTTGTTTCTGAGTCTTCAGCATTTTCCTGTGAATGGAATTCAGCACCCTGAATGTTATTAACAGCATGTGTGCTACCATGGAAGAATGCCAGTTCAGTGGCCAGTGAATAATTTAGGCATCAGCTGGTGTGACGAGATTGTATTACTTACGACAGAGAATCTAATATGTGCTAAACTTTGACATTAAAAGGAACAAACATTTCTTTTGTGAGAAAACATTGCATTACAAAGAATGTTGTGTGTATTTATCTAAAAACCAGTATACTAAATTAAAAATTATCTGGTTAAATATGTTTTAAATTAAAGTAATGGAAGCTTTCTGTCAGACAAAATTCAATAACAGAGAAAATATGAAGTAGGAACAATTTCTCCTTTTATATTGTGGCTGTATTTTATAATTTGACAAAATATACATTATACTTCATTTAACCAGTCCTCAATGATGTATGTTGTATTATGTCAGAGAGAACCCTCTATGTCCATGGATACTTGTAGGCACATATTCATAACATATTTCTAGAGGGAGAATTGTTAGGTCAAAGCATATGTACCTTCTGCTGATGGACACTGCCAAATTTCCTTCAGAAATAAGCTAGTCTGGTTTATCATCTAATCAGTAGTGTGAAAATACCCCCCCCCCCACCTTTTTTCACATTCTTGTCATCATAGGGATATTTCTGGGGTCTTTCACATTATCGGCTTTGAATAGGCAAAAAATAACACCTTTTTTATTTTTGCTTTTTGAGATGGAGTCTCGCTCTGTTGTGCTGGCGTGCAGTGGCACGATCTTGGCATATTGCAGCCTTCACCTCCCAGGTTCAGATGATTCTCCTGCTTCAGCCTCCCACGTAGCTGAGATTACAGGCATGTGCCACCATGCCCAGCTAATTTTTGTATATTTGGTAGAGGCAGGGTTTCACCGTGTTGGCAAGGTTGGTCTCAAACTCTTGACCTCAGGTGATCCACCCGCCTTGGCCTCCCAAAGTGCTGAGATTACAGGCATGAGCCACCGTTCCTGGTTTAATTTTAATTTTAATTTTTCACTACTCTGTATTGCCTTAAAAGAAGTTTTGGGTCTGCTTTCTCTTTCATATGTTATTAAGGTAGATACTCTTTTATATGGGGAATAAGAATCTAAAAGTAAACAATTCATAAAATAATGACATTTACTGACTACTTAGGTTCAGCCACTGTGCTACAAACTTTACATAATTACCCTTTAGTCTGACAACAGCCATAATAGATGATAATACTATCTTCATTTTACAAATAGGGACAATGAAATTTGGATATGTTAAGCAGCTTACGCAGTGGTACAGAGCTAATAAATTGCAGAGCTATGATTTGATCTCAGTTGTGCATTTCTATTTTCCACCATCCTTCTCCAAGGATTTTCTCTCATCTTCTTGAAAATCTCTTGAGAACACTTATGAGTTATTTGTTAATCACCAAACCTGGTAGATTTTTATTTGTTTGTTTTTGAAGTCCTCATCTGCATGGACCTTTTATCAGTCAGCACAATTAATGCTATATTTTATTGAAACTATCTTTTCTGGCTTCTTAAACAATTTGTTGCTTTTTGTTTTTTTGGAGACAGTCTTGCTTTGTCATCCAGGCTGGAGTGTAGTGTTGTGATCGTGGCTCACTGCAGCTATATATTGCCCAGGCTGGTCTTGGACTCCTGGGTGCAAGCTATCCTTCTGCCTCAGCCTCCTGAGTAGGTGGGTCAACAGGTGGGCATGTCATTGCACCTGGCTGGAAGCACATAATTTTAAAGCTGAAGATATTTTAGAAAACATTTACATAGACATTTCGTCTAACTTAATTTATAGAAGAGGCAACTGAAATCCAATATACTTAAATGAGAATTGGTATATCAACATTTATAGGTAGCTTTTTTTTTTTTTTTGAGATGGAGTCACTCTCTGTTGCCCAGGCTGGAGTGCAGTGGTGTGATCTCAGCTCACAGCAACCTCTGCCTCCCAGGTTCAAGTGATTCTCCTGCCTCAACCTCCCAGGTAGCTTGGATTACAGTCATATGGCCCCATGCCAGGCTAATTTTTTTTTTTTTTTTTTTTTGGTATTTTTAGTGGAGATGGGGTTTCACCATGTTAGCCAGGATGGTCTTGATCTCCTGACCTCATAATCTGCCTGCCTCAGCCTCCGAAAGTGCTGGGATTATAGGCGTGAGCCACCATGC